ATTTTTATCTGTCACACGTGGGTGTTCTGCATCTCTGCCCCTCCTACCAGTCTTGTTGTGGCTTCTTTAAATCCCTAGTTGTAGGACTTCCATTCAGCTAAATTTTAGGCAGATCTGAATGATGTTTGTTCTGTAGTTTAGTTGTAATTTTGATATGGTTGTGGGAGGATGTGAGTACCATGTTTATCTATGCCACCATCTTGACTGGAAGTCTCAGCATTTCTTATAAGGCAGGTCTTGTGGTGGTAAATTCTCTCAGCTTCTGTATATCTGGAAAGTCTTTATTTCTCCCTCATATCTAAAGCATTACTTTACTGGATATATTATTACTGGATGGTGATTTCTCTATTTTAATAATTTGAATATTTGATTCCATGGTCTCCTAGTTTGTAAGGTTTCTGCTGGAAAATTTGATGATATCTAATGGGGTTTCCTTTATATGGTCTCATCATCTATTCCTGGCCTTGAGAATTCTTTCTTTGTCATTAATTTTGACAATTTTAATATATTATGCCTTGGAGAAGGCCTTTATGGATTTAAATTATTAGGTGTTCTATTAGCTTTTTGGATTTGAGGATCCAGTTCTTTCCATAGATTTGGGAAGTTTTTGTTGATTATTTATTTGAATAGGCTCTTTTATTCTTAGCATTTTGTTGAATTTATTTGGGCGTAAGATTGGTTGATAAAATTTAATAGGCTCTTTGTTCCCTTCTCCCACTCTTTTCCTTCTGGTATATCCATTATTCCTATATTGCTCTATCTAATGGAGTCAGGTAGTTCTTGTAGAGTTCTTTCTTTTTATTTATTTTTTTACTCTCGATTCTCTTGTATTCCACCTGGGTCATTTCTAAATTTCTGTCTTCTATATCATTAATTCTTTCCTCCATCTGGTCTGCTCAATTTCATACGCTCACTAGTTCATTCTTGATCTCATTTATTGAGTTCTTTAGCTCCAGAATTTCTGTTTAGTTATTTTTTATAGTTTTATCTCTTTGGTAAATATTTTTTTGTCCATTGATTTTCTTTTAGAGCTTGTTGAATTATTTTTCTGAGTTTTCTTATACCTCATTAAGGGTTTTTTTAAAACCTCAATCTTGAATTCTCTGTCACTTAAGTCATAGTATTCAATGCCTTTATTTTCTGGAGATTTTTTTAAAAATTCCCTTGTTAACTTGGTTATTCATTGTTCTTTGTGGAGTACTTCTCTGCCTGAGCATTTGTGGGAATGGAAACTTAAAAAAAAAAATTACCACTTCAGTGTTTTGCAAGTTGATAAGTAGAGGTTTTTCTTTTGTTTTCCAGTAGGTGGTGCTAAAGCACAAATTTTTATTCTGGAATCTCTGTGAAGCAGTGTTACCTTAGCCATGAAAAATGCCCCATATTTCTTAAGGAGGTGGGCATCCCCTTTACATTGGGTTACCTCTGTCATTGTATCTGTCACTCCCATAGATTGGGAAATGGTGGGGTATGGGTCTTCTGTATGTTCCTGATGCTGCCTTCCTGTAGCCAGAAGCCACCAGCCAGAGCTGCTCAGTCTGAGTGGACCCAGCTGCCTCTACCAGGCTATGCTGATGTGGGTGGGGAAAGGCAGGGGCATACTGGTTCACGTATCTGGGACTCTGTTTCTCTTCAGTGGATTTAGACACAAAGGGTACAGACCATCACATCACCATGCTGTTCACAGACCACATAAGCTGAAAAGTTTTTTTCAGCTCCTTTGTGATCTGCCAAGTAAGGGTTTTACGGCCAGATTAGGCCACAGGTGGGTGGGGTGGGCTGGTTCCCACTCTGCTAAATTTGCTGTCTGGTGCTGGTGGGATAAGGAATGCTGCAACCTGTTACTGCTACTCTGCTCCTTGGCCCAGCCTCAATGTGTGCCAGCCACGTAGGTCCAATTACTGCCTCGGCTGTCTTCTGGGGCCAGAGTAGGCACCAGACTGCACACGGCTTCTGTCTCTATCTTCCCCTCACCCCCTGTCCTGTTTCTGCCATTTGCTCAGATATGCCCACATTCAGGTGTCTCAATGCCTGTTAGCAGGGAATCCTTTGTAGAATTAGAGTTGTCCAACTTGTAACTTCAAGAGGAGAGACTTAGAGGTCCTCTCACATTACCATGCTGTTCACTGTCCTACAATGATTTTTGATTTACGAAAATATGCAGAGATGGTGTAGAGAGTTCACATATTCCCCTCACCCAGCTTCCCTTGATTGTGCTATCTTACATAACCATGATACCTTTGCCAAAAAATAATAAGAAAATAACATTGGTACAATACTATTCACTAAACTCCAGACTTTATTGAGATTCACTATTGTTGTTTTTCCCTTAATATAGCATTTTGTTCCAGAATCAAGTCTGGTATACCACTCATTTAGAAATAGATACTTTAAGAACCTTTGTGCTTATACTTAAGTGTTATCCAGAAATGTAATTCCAGTCTATATTGCCACCAATAGTATATCAATTATTTTCCTCTGTAAAATTATCTTTAAATTTCAATGGGTAAAAAATAGTATCTTACTGTTTAGTTGCATTTTTTAAGAATTTAAGTATTATTTCATACATTGATCATTTGTATTTTTAATTTTTTTGTATCTTGTGCCTATTTTTAAAAGTAGGATATTCTACTAATCAAATTATTAACACTTTGTACATTAAGGATATTAAAATTTTGCCAAAGATGATACAATAATTTTTTATGGTTTGCCAATTATTTTTTGGCAATGGTTTTTTAATTTTAAATCATTAAATCTGTTCTGCGTTATTTTTATGATTGAGTCCACTACTTTTTTATGCTTAGAAAATTAGCTCCCTTGGTCGGGACGGCCCCGGTGAGGTTGAAACGGCCCCGTTCAGGTCGGGACAGCCCCGGTGAGGTTGAAGCGGCCCCGGTGAGGTTGAAACAGCCCTGGTGAGGTTGAAGCAGACACGGTGAGGTAGGGATGGCCCCGGTGACTGCTCCAGTGAGGTTGAGACAGATAATGGGGACCAGTATAGACTGATGAACAGGGGTAGATGCAGAGGCAGAGCAATTGAACAGACTGTCAAACTACAGTGGGAAGCCTGGGGAGGGTTTGGGGGGGATTAAGATATCAACCGAAGGACTTATATGCATGCATATAAGATTAACCAATGGACACAAGACACCGTTGGGGGGGGGGGTAGGGGCCGGGGGAAAGACAAGGGGGGGAAAATGGAGACATATGTAATACTCTTTGTAATACTTTAAGAAATAAAAATTATAAAAAGAAAAGAAAAGAAAATTAGCTCCCCATTCTTATATCGAAAGTCTCATACATAGATATGTACAGATACATTATTATTACTTTCTAGACCTTTGGGGGTTAATTTTGATGTGGGAAAAATGTTACTTTAATTCATAAATAATTTACCAGTACTATAGCTCTGTTTTTTAAATATTGTTTTCTGCTGCTTCATAGGGAATGCCACTTTTATAC